AGCCTTTCTAAGGGGCGCGTTTATTGCGTAAGGTAACAGGGGGAGCGGATGAAAACCTTCTGGTTTTGGCCAGTGGTATCTTTCTAACTTCATGAATTGCGAAGGTGAACAGGAAAGATTGGTTTTTTTAGTTGTCCGCTTTAATGCAGGAACGAGAGGGCGTAAAATAAGACTAACGAAAGCTAGCTTCAGGAGCACACATTTTCCACAAAAACATTTATTTTCTCATGAGCTGCAGAACTTCTTATTAGAGGATGTTGTAGATGCTCCAAGGTTTGCAAAAAAACCTGTGTATTTGCAAAGCAACTGGATAAATTAATGAGAGGGAAGTCTAGGGGGAGTATTAGGTGTGAAGATTTTTCTGTGACTTAGGAAGTCCCTGAACTGCAAATCATGATAGACTGGAAAAAATATTTTGAGGAAGTAATTCTACACTGTTTCCCTCATTTTCCGTTTTTGGGCATGTTCTACCTATGAACCAGTGTGGAGTTTGGAAGCTGTGCTGCACAGATGATTAGGTTCTGGTACAGCTGCTGTTATGTTCAGAGTACAATCAATTGAAACTGGAACCGAAACACTTTAAATAAGAAATCAGGATGCGGTTCTGGAGCAAGAAAACAAGAGACTTCAGATCTCTCCGTTCTCTTTCAGGAAAAGCATCCTGTGTTCATTCTGAGATAAATTTTTGAGGCCAACATGCAGAAAAATGGGTGAAATTTAAAGACCTGTCACTAAAAACTGAAGGTCAGACCAAGTGATTTGAATGATCTCTTACAGCTTAAATTGCTGTGAGTAGAAGTTTAGACATAATAGTGATGTAATCATAAAATATCCTGTGTTGGAAGAAACCCATGAGCCTCATTGAGTCCAACTCCTGACTCAACACAGGGCAACCTGAAAGTTAAACCATGTAAGTGGTGTCCAAATGCTTCTTGAACGACTATGCAAGACTTAACCTAAGACATTCAGGGTGGGATATGGAACAGTATGCTTAGGTGTTCACAGACTCTAGCTTGGACTGAACTGATGTCGAGGAAAACACGCAGCTTTTAGAATAAGGGATTACTCTAGTCATAGGATAATGTAAGTTGGGAAGAATCTCCAAATATTATCTAGACCAAATCCCTGCTCAAAGCAGGGTCAGTTTAGAGCAGGTTGCTCGGCATCTTACTAAGTGTTGAATTTTGAGATTCCATAACCTCTCTGGGCAGCTTGTTCCAGTGCCTAAGCATTTTCATTGTAAATATTTTTTTCCCTGATGTGTGATTGGGATTTACCTTCCTATGACTTGTCTCTTTGGCTTCTTGTCTTTTCGTTGCTGGCCTTGGTGTAAAGTCTGGTTCTGTCTTCTCTGTCATTTTCCTTTAGGCAGTTCAAGTCAGCAACAAAATCAGTCCTTAGCGTAGTCACTTTCAGATTAACAAACCCATTTCTGTCCGCCTCTCCTCTTGCATCTGAGCTGTCTTATTTTTTGTCAACGAAAGCCTAACTTTTGGTGGGCCTTTGTCGTATATGTTCTGTTTCCTGAGCGATATGCTAGATACAGTCTTCAGCCAGATTTGTTTTTCTGAAACTACATTAGGCTTTCAAGAAAATTCTTTTATTTAAACAGACTAATGCTTGGTTTAATATTACTTTAAAATCTTCAGGTTTATCTTACAAATGCCATTGTCAAGAGATAGCAAATGAGTAGTGGAAAGGTTTGGATATTTATTTTTTTTATATACAAATTAGAATTTTCAGATTTTAAATGTTGAATTAAAAAATTCTACGACTAGTATGTGGATATATACGCCACTCTCGTGCTTTAGTAAAGCATAGCTGATCCTTTACCAAAGGGAAGAAGTCTGCTTAAATAACACAGTTAAATTATGCTGCTTTCAATGGTTTTCTTTTATGACTACATCTGTTGATTTCCTAAGCAGTCAGAAATAGATACTCCGAAGTATCAGATCTCTTAAGTAAGTACAAGTATTTTTAACAAGGAAAGTAAACTAGTTTAAGCATGTGTGTATATATAGACATACAAAGTATATTTTCTCATGTTTGCGGAAATGTGTCCAAAATAAACGTTTAGATGCTCTCTTATGGAACACGTTGCACCAAAGTAATTGAGCATAATGGAAGGTTAATGGAAGCTTTAATACTTCCTTTAGCAAGTAATATGAAACGTGAGGATTTTGCACTGTTTTGCAGTTACCCAAGACGTGGTTTGGGATTACCTAATTTTTATAGGGTTTTTTTTCTGATTTCTGTCATGTGTTTGTAGACGCAGTCCTAAATATTTTCCTCGGCTCAAAGCTTTTAATCAACTATAGCAGATAACTGGATTATTGTAAAAAAATTGTTGGTACTGGGTTTGTTGTGTTGAAATGTGTGCTTCAACTTGAGTGAATGTTAGTCTCATTAAAAGTTGTTCAGTTCATTTGTGGCAAGGTGCAGAGGTCTTTAATGCAGGATTCCAAATATTGATGATTTTTTTTTCCATCAATAAGCTGTTCTCTTCCCTGTTTGTTAATGTTTTCATGGACTTCTGACATCAGGTGGCATGTGTATCGGTTCCTTATAAATTCTTTCTGTCTGCCTAATTGATGTCTGCCTTCAATACCAAATGACCTTTGACTAGTAACTGCACAGGGGAGGTGGAGAAACAGGAAGAATAATGATGTCTAGTTGAAAAGTTCAGATACACTGGAGACTGCCAGCAGAGAGTTTGCAAAGGCAATTTTTTCAGATGTATCAAAATGTTACTTGGAAAGTTAGTTTTCGAAGCCACTCACAGTGAAAGAAGTAGAAAGAATAGAGCACAGACACACAAAACAAACTTAATTGCCAGGGAACATATCTGACTGACAAAGCTGAGATGGGATGTGAACATACATTATGTCTGTAATGTTGGTTGAAATGCTTAAGTGGATGCTAATTCATTTGTAATTTGATTCTGTTATGAACGAGGATCGTTTGCTCATGCAGGGAGTATCTGCTGGTTGTATACTCGGAGTTGGGCTGAGTTTTGAGTGTATGAAGAGAATATTGCTTTTCCAGGAAAAGGTAGCTTTCTTTGATGCCAGTAGGAATTACGTGTATTTAAAGACTAGGAGATAGGCATTTTTATAAGTGGAGGTTCCTTGACAATAGAAGAAGACTAGAGACTGTAGTAGAGGCACAGTAGTAGCACCATGTGATCTGCAGTGATTTTGAACTTTATCAAAGCAATGTGGGCTTTACTGGGATTTTCATATCAGTTTCCCCATGAATGTATCTTTGAGATTATTTTCTTCTCATTTGATGTATAACTGTCTTAACTATTAGCTGTTATAAAAGTTGGTATAAGGCAAAAGAGGAGAAAAGGGAAGGGCTATATCTAAATATCACCGGAGAGAGTTACCTAAACAGTATTTTCTCAGGTTTGTTGCTGATCATGTTTGGTGGAAGAGCTGTGGCTTAATTTGCTGATACAGAGAAAGCAGAATGATTGTATTTGTGTCCATTCTGCTTTGCTTAGTTAAGTTTTGAGGAAAACGAAGTGAGAATGACTAGCATTTACCATTCATAAAGCACCTTGAAAGAAGCAATTAAAATATCAGTTTTGATGTTGTGTTGATTGACACAGAGAGGAAGAGTTACAGGTACACATTTGGAGAATATTTAGCTATGAAATTCCCGAGCTCTTTGCTCTGTGATGCGTTCTTTAATTATTCTGAGTTTTGGAATTTGTCACGTACCAATGAAACCAGAATGAGGAAGTAGCTGTCGAAGCTGTGAGGGAGAGCTAAGAACAAAAATGTCAGAGTGCATATTGCAGGTGAGTAATGCATAGTTTCAGAACAACTGAGTTATATAATAAGCGTCACCATAATCCCATTTCCTGTTAATTTACAGGAATGTCATGCTTTTAAACAAGAGATAAATCTGCTGAGTTGCCAGAGCTAGACCCAGCAACGGACTGATGGAGGCGTGTGGCAAAATGGGTTGAGCAAGTGCAGAATTGCCTTATTCCACTGTAAGTACGCAACTGTAATTGAAGTAGCAGGTCTTGTCCTGTTTTCACTTACGTTTGATACCAAACATAACTGACAAGACGCTTCTGTACCCTTCTGTTCAGAGAACCTAGAGTTGTGTTGGAGTTGTCATAATACACTGTAACACAGCATATATATATTTCATTTCCGGCGACTGTTGTATTGAGTTGCCCCTGAAGTGTAACTCTCCTAAACATGTATCTTGTCCTTCTAACCTATGCAACTTGGCAGACTTACTTGAAGGGTAATGGCTTTTGAGGGAGGACTTCTGCTGGAGAGAGAGAGCTGCAGCTCTGTCTTGATGTGGATCAAGATAGTATTGGGTTCTTACCTTGTTGGGTTTTATTATTTATTTGTTCTTTGTTAAGGACAAGTATTGCTTTTGTGGTTACTGTTGCTAACCTACAAATATTTTTTACTTTGTTCCCTTTGACATTATGCAGCAGTGCTTTCACCCTTTTTTCCTCATTTAATATAGTAATCTTTCAGTTTCCTAGAATTTGCTGAAATGGAGTCTGTGTTCATGTTTCATTTACATGAAGCAATTGCCAGTTAAGATAGGCTAACTGTGTTTACATGGTTATAAAAGTTCTCCAGGTGCCAACAGGCAGCCTCCATGAGCTGCTTTTGTAAAGGTGACTCCTGCAGAATATCAGATGCATGTAGTCTGGATTAAGATAATGTAATGCATCACAGCAAAAATGCCCACTAAAATAGCAACGTAGCATTCTTTCCACTGTTCCAGGAAAGGAGGACCAGCAGTTCAAGGACATTACTTCTAAAAAGTGTTAGTGGGAGACTAGATTGGAGAGTCTGTTCTGATAGCCTGCTTGAATTGATGTGTGTGTGTTAGAGTCAAGATGTCTTCACACAATCATCTGTTGGAACAAGGGTTGCTTCCAGACCAATTCATTTTAAACTAGTCTTCCGAGATGTATGGGGCAGGTCTCTATGCTAGACTTACTGGCAAAGTCTAGAGGAAGCCCGAAACAATTTAATCTATTAGTCTGATCCTCTTGAGAAGTGTCTTAGCTAACTGAATAATCAGCTCTGTGACCTGTAGGCATAAAGCATTAAGATTCTTGCACCCAGTACTTTAAAATTTTGGAATGCGTGTTTCTGTATTATATCTACGCTGGATTAGTTTTCAGTTTAGCACATTGATAGCTGATGCCTTAATCTTGCTTTCAAACTTGACAGCACGACAGTCAAGGCGTTACAGGATTTCTTTATCCAAAAGCTTAAGATGCAACACTTCCTTTTAACCTCAACAGGGTCAAAGGCATGGCTCTGTTGTGCAAATATTCCCTCCCTCCTATAAACACACATTTTCATAGCTCTGGGGAGGTAGCTTTTTTTTTCCTTCCATATCTGCTACTGCCCTGAAAAGCTGCTAGTACTACATACCTGCTAGTGCACCTGCAAGCCAATCTGGAGAGGATGGAGCTTTACTGAAGTTGATGCCCATTCTCTGGACTCGTGTGTGTGTGTGTGTATATCTATCTACGTGCCTTGTAAGTGGCCAGCCATATTGCATTCAGTGAACTATAGGGATTCTGTCATATGGAATATAAATGTTCTGCTAAACTAGTTTCTCTGTCATCTAGGAATATTTGGAGCTTAATTAAGAAAATGAGGCAGATTTGAATTATTTTTCTAGAGTTAGTATGTATATGGCTTAAAGCATTCACAGCTGCGTTTACTATATTGGATGTGGCGATTTCCACTTCTTTATAGTTACTTCCATTAACAGTGCTGTTCTACCACACTTTGCTTCTCATGTGTTTTGTTTGTTTGTCTGTCTTTTTAAAGGATGGACTCTTCTAATTCTGGGCTGCATATTGCTTATACTTCATCTCTGAGCCATTCCCTCAGCATGCAGTTATTTACATGACAAAAGAATTGTTTAATCCTTGTATTTAATATCTGTTGCAGGCTTCATGTCAGGTTGGCTTTGGACTATTCTTACTTTATTTTCTAATTTCCACTATGTAAGTTTGTGGGGTGTGGTTTGTTTGTTTTTTTGTTTCCCCCCCCCCCCCCCCCCCCCCCGTGGATCTTGAGCAGCATCATTGACTTGTTTCTTTTTATTTGGGTTGAAAATTCCAGATACCTTTGTAAAAATTCTGAACCTCTAGTGCATTTGAACTTCAGCATTCAGTCCGTCCAACCTCACTGTCTCTGTTCTATTAAGGCTAATTTCCTTTTCTGACTTTCTGGCTGTGCGTCCTTCAACAGCTCCTTGTTCTATAGCAGAGGCAGACCAATTATTCTTTTTTTTCTTCATTGGTACACTTTCTGTGCGTTTTTTACACGGCCATATTCTCATGTAAGTAATTTTCTGGTTGATTTTTCTGTCCTTCAGGGTCTGTTTTTAGCAGGTTTTTACGAACCTTGAGTTTCCTATATACATTCTCTCCCTTCTCATGTGTGTTTCTTAATCCCCGTCTGTACGTATCCCTGGCTCATTTTCCTGACCTCAGATCCTCTCATGCATAAGAAAGTACACATACAAGTAACTTTCGTCACATACCTCCTTCGGTAAATGTTTTGCAGTCTGTGTGGTTCCTTCCTTGTTCTGTCATCTCTGTCTCTTCAATAGGTGGTTCCTTCCTAGGTCCTAGGATTTGAAGATGAATACAGGAATGTTTGACTCATTCCTGTAAACTTTCAGACAAGGAACACAGTCATCCAACCTTTGCTAGACTTGAGTGTCTCTCAGCTTTTTTTGGTACAGGCTCTGTTACACCTTCTTGGAAGCAGAACCTACTCTTGCAGTGACTGTAAGCCCTGTAACCAGTAATGACCTCTGAGCTGCTCCTGTATGCATCTTTTTCCTAAGTTCTCTGTTGCAAGAACCTCAGATTTACAGTTGGCTTCTGGAACATGTTAGCTGCAATAAGTAGACATTTACACTGCGTAGTCTTTATTGTGCTTAAATACTCTCCAAATACTAAACAACTCTGTGCCTCGGTTTCTACATTATTTGTGGTCTTCGTTTAAATTTACAGTGGGACTTCTAACAGTTTAATTCTCTTGAGTCATCTAATCTCTTTCCTGTGCAGCAAGCGTACTGATTCTGCTCACTCGCTCTTGCTCTCCCCTCCCCTGCCCCTCAAGAGGGTGAGTGATCCTGTAATTGAACTGTTGTGGTGAGTAACTCTTCATGCTAGAGAGGGAATATTTATCACAGTCGTACATGAACATCTTTACCATTGGAGTATAGGTTGAATCATAGGCGAGGTAGGAGTGGTAGATACTACCTCCTCCTCTTAGCAAATCTCCTCCAAAATATTTGCTTTTTCAGCCAAAATGACTTGGAAAAATTAATACAAGTATGGAAGTAGTTTAAAGTGAAGGAAACTGTGAGGGATAAATTATTGTCTAGCCCTGAGTAAGTTCTGTTCTTCAGGACTTAGGACAGTACGGTGCAATCTAGCATTGGCTTCTGAATGACTTCACATCAACCAGGTTGTGACACTTTTTCTTAATTTAATTCCATTATTTTTCTAAGGGATGCTCTACGGGTTCTCAGAGTAATTGCATAAAAACCCTAAAACCTAGGCAGCACTTTCTTCCATTTTAATTTCTTAATCTATCAAAGAGGAGTACGTATTCTTTTCTGTGTTATTGTTACGTATTAAACCAAAAGATTTAGGACATTTTGAAAACAGGCCTGTAATAAGTTAAGACTCACTGCCACCTAGTGGAACGTTGGAAACTTTGAAGTGTTCTAAAACTTGATTAAATAAGATTTGGAGAGGAGAGTCCACAGGTTTTTATGGTTGACACAGAATGTGAGATTCCAAGTGGCAGTAAAGCATATTAGATTTCTTTTTTTGGAGTAGCTTATAGTCATTATTCTTCATTTAAGAAATGCAACTTTTTTTTTTTCTTCCTCATTTATAGTAGAACGTGTGAGATACTCTTGCTGACTTCTAATGTTTGAATACAAAACCAGCTTATTAATGGAACACTCAGAAGCCACAGAGGCTGTTATGCTTTTGTGATGAATACTGCAAATACTAGCCCTTACTAGTTCCTCTCTATAATGTATTGCTTGTATACTATTTCAAAATATGTTAATGATGTTTAGTGTTACAGACAGGGTGTCTTCTAATCTTAAGACTGGTACTAAATAGAAATGTCAACTAGTTTTCCTGAGAAATTTTAATCTGAATGCAATGTTGGACTAGAAATGACTGCTTTAGTTGAGAGGTGTTTTTGCCAGTTCCGCGATGGTAATGGAAAGCTCGGTTTGTGGAAGCAGAAAATATATCCCAGATGCCAATAACTTACCATAATGCAGCTTTTATGTAGCTTGGGGAGGAGTATCTGCAACACTGCGGTATGGAAGCGTCCTGTCAGTCAAGCTATTGGAGAGCTTAAGTCGCCTTGCCATTTCCCAGCAAATCCATGTTTGTATGACAAATTAACAAACTGGTTACTGGTTCCTGCTTTTCTTGTGGAGGTTTACTGCAGAGTCTGGTCTTTGCAGTGATGGTTTCATTTTGCCAGTGCTGGTGGAACTTGTCAAGTGTAGTTGCATGTTATTCTTAGTAGTTTCTGTTGCTCAAGAAAGTGATTTTCAGCATTAAAGCTTTTGTTTTCATGATATATTAATTAATATAGGACACATATCGACAAGAGAGGACTCTGGTGGTAATCACTGGTGTCTTATATACTGTATGTCATAAAACCTTCCTCAAATTCTTATTCAGTCTTGTTGTACAGGGTTGTTTTGCATTTTTATTTAAATAAGTAAATTCAACCTTGGTGTAAAGATTTCCAGAGATGCAAAGTTCTTCAAACAGTTTCTAATTATTAGAAACCTGCACTGTATTTCTTGTCTTAATTTGCTTAGGTATGCAGCCTGAGATCTTTCATAGTAGAATGTCACTTCATTGTGTTTCTTTTGCTTATACAAGTAGTGTTGGTCGTATCATTACTTCTCAATGCATTAATGGTGGTAGAGATAGCAGAATGGAGAGAGGAGAAGAGAGCATTTAATAGTTAACTTGTAAATAGGTAATAAACAGTCATTAGAGTGAACTTGATTATCAATGGATATAGCAAACATATGGGGCATAATCAGGATAAAAATAGCATTGAGCATTCAAGCCTGCTTTGTCAGCCTCCTGCTTTCTGATGGTTTTACCAACTAAGGATCCTGTGAGAGATTTAATAATTTTGAAATAAATTTTGACAGTTTAGGAGTGTTATGAAGAGGCTTTTTGTTACCAGATTGTGCATACTTATCAAACTGTTAAGACTGAGACTTTGCATTCATTGTATTTTTGAAAAATAGTAAGACTGTATTTTTATTCAACTTGTAGAATGTCAGCTTGCCTTTTTGATGTAGTGATTGCTGCAGATTTCTTTGTATCCAGGTTGCCCTACAACAGTAAATTATTTTGAAAATCCAGGGTTTGGACTGCTGTAGGGCAACCTGGCTATGACAAAGGAATCCGTGCTTGTGTCTTAAACTCATCAAAGCAGCTGCTTCTCTCCTCATGATAAAACTCCTTTGAGTGTACATGCACTAGAGGGGTGGAAGTAGGAGAGCTGAGGCAATTTTAGTAAGAGAAATCAACCTGGAATCTGCTTTTTCATGAGTTAGACTTGATTCGTTGGCAGCTATTGGGAGGTGCTGCAAGAATCGGTTTTTCAGTCTGTTTGCTCAGGACTGATGCATGTTATTGAAGAATAGTTAGTTACTTCAGTGATTTCAGTTTGTGGTCAGCTAAATCAGTGGGGTTAACACATAGTTAATCCACAGACCATTAATGATGTTTTTAGTGGTTTTGGTTAAAATCCTATTTTCAATCTATTAAAGGTTGACAGGTCTTGGGATCCTACACCTGGGACACCCTTAACCTTGCTAGTTCTGCTCAACTTCTGTATTTGTGTAATTTCTGTATAACAGTGACTGGTATAAGTTGCTGCACAAGACCTTGGGAGTGCTGTTTCCCTTCAAAAGGTGTATTGTCATCAGCTCTTGACAAGCACAATATAAGGGTTTATATACTAAATCATAAGTATTATTTCCATTACATTGTCATTACTATTCATGAACTGTAGTGAGAAGTTTCAGAAATGTGCATGAAACTACTAAACTGTTCATGGCGTGTTTTATCAATAGGTGGTACTGTTGCCTAAGCATAATGAAACATAATAGGGATTTTCCGGTGAAACAGATACTGAAGATACAGAAGACAGTTTTCACTTAGGAGGACCTTTATTCATATAAGTGTAATGGCTTTTTAATCTTCTATAGCCTGATTGCTTTTTTCTTACTAAACTGTTAGTAGGCAATTATTATTTAAATCCAGGCTTTTGGATACTTCAGAATTTTTCATGTTTTGCAAAATGGCCACTAAGGTCTAATGTTGAATTATTTCTGAAGGACTTCTGAAATGAAAAGAGCTTTTTCACAGAAAGCGTCGTGACTATTTAGAGTCCAGTGTTACATGTGCGTTCATGCATGCCTTGTATGTCATGAAAGGGCTCGGAGCGGCATACAAAAGATTGCTATTTTCTGAAGGAAGTGGGGTTCATATGGATAATTTCTGGCTTTAGTATAGGAGATGTAGTCCTTTTCCTCTCCACTTTAAAGAAATCGTATGTATGGGGATGAGAAGCGGGATTTGAGGGTGATACCTGACCTGATTGATAGAGGGCAGGAGCACTCGGGAAAGTGAAGATACCATGCAGTGTTTGTACTAAACCTTTGGGAGGGGATGCTGTCAGTCAGGAATAAAATGGTTTTATGCCAGTATTGCTCAGTGCTGCTGAGGTTTGTGCACTAACTTTTCTTTAGGTTAGCAAGTCTCCACATAGCACTCAGCAGCTGCCTCTTTGAAAGATTTAAAGAAATTCTCTTCTAGAAATCCTTCCAGACTGGCTTGCTCTGTCACTGCAGTGACAAGATAACTGTAAATTGCTCAGACTTAGAAGGATTTTGAAAATTTACTTTTTTGTGTTTTTAATATCAAAATTATTATACTAAACAAAAGAAACTTAGTGGGGGGGGGAAAGGTATGTCAATATCTAGGTACGGAGAACAAGCAACATGTGGTTTTAGATACCTCGATGCTAATTGCCTTTTTCTCTTTATTTAGCAATAACACAAGAAGAATGGGACTTTTTTTCCCCACGCTTATGAGCCTCTGGGCTGAAGCTGGCTGTGATGTAGATGGTGATACAAGTTTCACATCAGTGTCTGAATGCAAGTACAGGGGCACAAGTACAACCACATTATTGTTTCATCCTGTTTTCCTAATACAGTCCCATTTTCCTCTTCCAGTACGTTAACTGTGCTAACATATTCTCATTTGTACTCTACGCCCACAGCATCTGGATATGACTTTGTTCATGGTTCATCAAGGAAAGAAACATTCTAATGGTGAACATCTGGAGGAATACTTTTGGAGTGAAGAAAGAGGAAAATGAGTGCAATGATGAAAACCAATTCAGAACCAAATAGGGAACTCGATGTGGTCTATTGTAAATGTGTCCGTAGGTTGTGGCAATTGCTAATGAAGTGGAATAGTACATTATTGATCTTGCTGGAGGTGGAAAGCAAGATTCTTGCAGTATTCTTCATTCCCTTATCTTGGTCGATGACAGCTAACCATTCTGATGTTTGGTAGCAAATTCTGGAAGGCAGCTGAGGCCTCTGGGTTTGTCTTGTTTGGAGAGAAGGAGGCTGAGGGGGGCGACCTGGGCGCTCTCTGCAGCTTCCTGGGGAGGGAGGTGCTGAGCTCTGCTCCCTGGGATCCAGGGGCAGGAGCCCTGGGAATGGCTCAGAGCTGCGCCAGGGGAGGTTCAGGATGGACATTAGGAAGCATTTCTTTACTGAGAGGGTGGTCAGACCCTGGAACAGGCTTCGTGGAGGGGAGGTCCATGCCCCAAGCCTGTCAGTGTTTACGAGACCTTTCCACAGAGCCCTTACTACCGTGCTTTAACTTTTGGTCAGCCCTGAAGTGGCCAGGCAGTTGGATTAGATGTTCGTTGTAGGTCCCTTCCAACTGGAACTACTCTATTCTAAATTTATTTAAAACAAACAAACGGCTGGTAACCTTTGTTGATTCCAACCAAAGTTATCAGTGTCCAAACAGGGCCCTAGTGTTCTTTAATTGTCTTCACTGAACCAGTTGTGCAGCTAATTTAAGCTTAAGAAAGAACAGTTACTTTGGTATTCTACAAAAAAATATGTTTTCTTAAAAGCATGCTGCAGCTGTCAGTTCATGACTCAGTGATGTTAGGAAAACCATAATGAACTAATGAAAGTAGTAAGTAAATGGGGTTTTGAAATCAGCTAAGACAGTTAGCTTTTGGGGCCCAGAACAGCTGTACCAGATCTGATCAAAAGCCGATCAAGCTCAATATTTTTTCCTCCAACAAGAAAATCTGTAAAAACACTCTCCCATTTGCTGAGCGCAGTGTGAGCAGTTAGTAAGTGCCCCAGATTGCTCTGCCAGCCTTTGGCAATTAGGGCACAGGGACTTTCTTGGCTAGAGGTGGGATCTGTGCTTAGGAGTCTTTTCGTGACTTTCTTGTGAGTTGGATAACTAGTAATGAGAATGAACTTACTTACTGTAACTGGATCACATGCATATTACTAACAGAAACGTAAAAATTGCATTTCTTCTTTCAGAGAATATCACTTCTGTGCCATAGATGACAAAATTTAACAAATGTTGGTAAAATAATGGCTAGAGGGGTTACTTTTGCGCTCAGTTTTGATGGTGGTGTTTTGGTTTTTTTTGTTTTTTCCAGTTGCGTTGTTCTTGCATTGTCTTCACTTTTGCTTCAGAGCGAACTACATATCTAAATGGGTTTGTTAAGTTGGCAAAGAACAGACAACCTCTGGTGGTATGTATGTTTGCATCCTGATTTATCCACTTTGCTTCTGGCAATCTATGAACGAGATCTTCTGCAATGGACCTGTGAACTTCCTGTACAGACAGTTAAGGTTTCTTCTTTGTTTTGGTTTTTTTTAGCACTGTTCCTGAGCAAGTTGAAAGAATTTTTAAGCAGCAAAAGCTATGATAAGAAATAATACATCATTTTAGTGATTTTTTTTTTTTTTTTTACCTTTTATTGCCAACATATTAGACTCTTGATAATTTGCAGAATTTCACAAATTTCTTTTTAAGCTTGTTGGAGTGAAATATTGCAAGTATGGGGGAGCAGCTTTTATATTAATTACTTTTAATATCTTTCTGTATGTAGTCTGACAGCCTTTTGTTACAGTAGGCTTAGTGGTAGCTCCAGTGTTACTTAATTTGCAGAGTAATACCTTTCATGATGGCACGTGTGGAAATACTTCAAATCACCGGGTGATTTCATAAGAATAAAAAAACAACTTTCTTGGGTTTGACTTAAAAGGATATTTGCTCCCTATGACTTTCCTCAGGGCAGCAAAACAAATGGGTGTATAGAGAAGTATTTTTTCATAGGAGATGTGAGTCTCGGGAAAACCTATTCACATAGGGAAAACCAGTGCCTTTTTAATGCCTGTGTTGTATTTGAAACATTTTGGGGAAAAGTATCTATTTTGATCCATTTTAGAATGAAAGTAACCTTGCGAGCTTTTTTTATATATTGGATGTTGAAAGGCATAAGTATGTTAGTGCTTTTGGTTTCAGATATTAAAGCACTTTTGCCACTTCTTGGTTTAGTGAAAGTTAAAACTTGGACTAAAACTGAGCTTGGACAGGATGCAAGATCACATATGGGATTTTTCTTTCCCATTTTAGAGCGTTTTTGAGCCCCCGCACACTGGAAAGCCTAGTCAGAAAGGCGGAGAAGGAAGAGACGAGAATATTTTTGTGGCCTTGATGTAAATGCCACGTTTTAAAGAAATTACATGATGAAAATTGCTTTCCACTTCAGTATCTCTAAGGACTGTTAACAGGAGCGACTCCAGACCTAGAAATACTTTGCAGTCTGTTAGTGCTCAAATAAAGAGTTCATTTTATCAGGACACAAGACAAGGGAAACTGCTTCTTGACTGGTTTAACTGAGGAGATTCTGGCATTATTTGAAGCACAGTTACTGATGTGTTTCATACGTGCCCGTGAGATCGCGGGCAGAGTTGGCGGTGGTCATGTAAGGCCTTGTAGGGATGACAGGTGGGGTGAAGGCCTCACCTTTCTCAAGGAAGTAAAATAAGAGGTTGTTACTATTCTCAGCTGCTTGTTTTTTTCAGCATTTTCCTGTTTGTGGGATCAGTGTTGCAGGGAAGGCTGAGGATGCAAAGGGGGATGTTGCAGTATCCCTCGTTGCATGTTTGAGCAACTGCAGATTCTGTTAAAAGAGGACACGAACAGGAGTCTGTGGCAGTGGTTGCCGTGGGGTTCATCTGTGTGTGCCGTGGGGAATGATGAAATGACCGTGCTGTTTGTTTGCTTGATTTAAAGTGACTCACAGCCTGGGCTGACTTGGTAGTTCTGTAAGCAGTTCTTGGGTTTGTGTGTGCGCACGCTTACACTTGTGCAGAGACAGACACAAATAGTTCTGCTCTTAGTACACATGTTCATGCTGTATCTGAAAAACTTCTATTACTGTCTGCTAGCAGCATGCTTGAAGTGTGCGTGTGAACCTCCTGCAACGCTGCCAGTCCTTGCACAGTGACGCAGGGCTATGTGGTGCCTGTGTTTTAACCTGTCCCTAGCAGTCAATTTAGGTTTAATAACTAGAAGTGGTCAGGTAGCTTAGTTTTCACCCCAAAGGCATATTGATTATTTAATTCGGGAGGAAAAGTTGTTCTTTGTTTTTTTGAGACAGGTGTTTGGATTCAGCAGTCTCTTCTGCGCAATCCTGCGGGCCTGAACAGTGTTAGCTTTTTTTAGGCCCATCTTAACAAGCCTTCACTTAAGGTTCCGTTTGGATTTGCAGATTTGAATCTTGCAAAGCATCGCTTACCTGATGAAGTGAGAGGCAGAGCCTGCACTGCCTCTGTAGGAGGAAGAATTTCTCTGTAGAGACTGTTTGCAGTGGACCATGTTGAACGCTAACTTCCGTAAGGCTTGTAAACATCCACGGCTGCCCCCTTGGTCACTTAACCAGCCATTTCGTACTCCTAAGGGTCTGTTAATGCATTCCTATAAGATTGTTTACGACTTAAGAGTAGTCTCAGATTTGAGATTATGTGGACTCTGATTCAATGAACATAAACTTCAAATATATCATTATGTTCTTAGCTAACAATTTTCAGTGATTAAGATAAGAGCATAGCGTGTTATGTTGAATGTTTAACTGAAGGACTCTGGCAGATACCACGTCACTGTGCTAATTGTCGTTGGACCATTAATGAAAGGGCGGCTTTAGCCCGTTAACCTAGTAGTTAGTATGGATCCCCAAAATGAACCGGATACCGTATCTATGTGAAGCCTGGTTTTGCTGTGTTTGAATTTTGGTTCTGGCTTCATTTCAGGTAAATACAGGGAATGCTCGTCTCCAAACAGTATTGTCTGTAGGAACAACGAAGTAATTCTTAATTTTTTTTTCAGCAATAATCAGAGGTCTGGTGTGAGGGAGAGACCAGACATACCCGTTGGTGCCAATTTTTTAAGTGACATGAAAAAAGCCTTCTGAGAGATTTTCTGAATTAGCCAATCTTACAGTCAAATTTTTCTTTGCTGTGTAGATTTGAAAATAAAATGGCTTAGGATTCCCTTCACTTCCCCTTACATAGAATTTTGACCAAAAGGAATGTTTTTCTGCCTGGAAGTGTCTGTTGTTGTCATTGTGTAAGTGATTTCATCTAAAAATGTGTGTGTAATTCTTTTATGAGTACCCTTACTGTCTGAATTCAGTCTATAATTATGTCAGTTGTTCTCATTTTAGTTGTGCCTTCTTATATACAAATTTTATTTTTTCTGAATGAGATGCAACTTAATTAGATTTGTAGAATTATTTATCCACCTATGTCCATGTGGTGCTTGTCCTTTAGTGTATAATAATTAACATATATCTGAGAAGTTGAAATCTGATTACCCAATATTAGGGAGATCATAGAATCATAGAATCATAGAATGTTTAGGGTTGGAAGGGACCACTAGTGGTCATCTAGTCCAACCCCCCTGCAGTGAGCAGGGACACCGCTAACTAGATCAGATTGCTCAGAGCCCCATCCAACCTGGCCTTGAATGTTTCCAGGGATGGGGCCTCCACTACCTCTCTGGGCAACCTGTTCCAGTGTTTTACCACCCTTGTTCAATACTCAGGAATATGCTGTCTTGAAATTATTTGTGCTTTATTTCAAGATTGATGGTTCTTTTAGATAAGAGTATTACTGTTGTGATCAATGGCTTTGTTAATTCAGAACTGCAATATGGGGGTTTGGGGAGGGTTTTTTTTGTGTGGTGGGTTTTTTCGTGGGTGGTTTTTTTTTTTTTTTGTTTTCATTAAACACTTTATTTCTGGAACGGATTATTTGATCCAAGGGGGTAGAGGCAGCTTCTTTGTTGTACCACATACTCAGATTTTTTCCAGTCCAGTCTTTTTGTTTCTGGAGGAAGCGTAAGGTACATTACGTATGTCAAGTCCTAAGCCAGTTTGGAACTGCATCGGTCTGCTTAATCCAGCTTGGAAAAAGTCTTGCTTCGGACAGTGTTGTTGCTGGATTAGCCAAGATCCTTGAGATTCATCCTTCCAACTAAGAAGGATGATGTTGTCTGGTTCTCTTCTGTGGAAAATGTCTGTTCTTTGGGGCCTGACATAAAATGCTTTCAGGCGTACCTGTCTGTATCGGTATTAGTGGAGGCCTAAGCAGCTACAAATAGGATTTGCACGTTAGAAAGATACAGTGGGACTTAAATCACCAGTTATAAGACTAATTCAAGTGATGAGCAGGGAAAAGTGAAGAAGCGTTGGTTTTTTTCAGTCAGTCAATAAATTGGATTTCTTATTTTACATTATATTATGGTAACGTGCAGTTTCTGGATGAATACTGCCTCGCTTATGGACTTCGTATAAAACCTAATTCAACATAAATGACAAATAATACAACTTTCTTTTTTTCTACATTTCTTGAGTTGATTGGAAGTGGGGATAAGGACTTGGCATAGCTTTAGCAATAATCAGTTACACTCCTTCACGGTTGGTACCTGAAAGAGAAAACAGAATCTAGCTCCAAAGATCATCTTATTTCTGAAGTTCTTTTCTCTGAGAAAGAGCAATGAAATATCTTGTGCTGTTGTTTTTTTTTTTTTTTTTAAATTTATTTATTTGCACAAATACGTTTGCTTTGCAGGAATTCTGTTTTCATCATGTTGTCTCACCAGTGCTGGATGAGCTGAAACTTGCTGAGTCTTGGGGAGAGCATGTATAAAAGGAATGACCTCATGGCCAATGTGATGATCACCTCCGCCACTCCAGAGGTACAGTTCCTTGGTTTTTATTAGCTCCTCTATCAATATGGAAATTTTCGCTTGTTTCAATTTTCATAGAAACCCTTTCTGCTACCAGTCATGCCAGTCCTTTTTCTTGCAAATGGTGTAGATTTGGCAATAGAGTAATTTTGGAACACTCCATAGCTCTGAGGTTTCGCAACCTATTTATTGTTGTTGTTGCTGATGATTACTCATTTAGATTAGTTTTAAATAGCATTTTTGACCTGTAACTCCGTAACTTAGCAGCCACTTACTACTGAGTTAAGAGCAATGTAACGTGCCATCTAAATGGAGCTAGTCAGAAATATTCCAGTTGACTTTTTTTTTGTAATTTACTAGGCTACTAGTAAGGAAGTGCTCTGTGTAAGACTTCGTTCAGTTTAACCCTTTGTATCCTTTGAAGACCAGGCAGCTCTGCCTAGTTCTGTGTTGCGAACAGTCTGTGTTGGTGGGTCCAGGACAGCCAACCGAGGACTGCTTGAGAATTAGTTACCCTACTGAGTAGCTGTGGGGTTTTTAATTTCATGTAATACTGTGATGAACTATTATAAATCAGCTACAGTAAAGCTCGTCCAGTAAAGCACACGTTTTAAATGTGTGATTGGAGGTACTTTGTGCTTTTTCAAAAGGTAACATTTTGATGAAATTCTTCCCTGGTTGAAACATTCTACTTCTGCATCTCTTACGACAGCTGAAGGAAGAGCTGCATGAAGCAAGTTTTTCCATGGTAGTGCTGCCTTTTGCACACTCAAATCAAAGCAGTTGTCCTGAGTTTCTTGAAACAAATAATCTGTGAGCTGATCTTTAAAAATCTTAAACCAAAACAAAAATACATAATACAGCTGTGCCCTGCAGAAGATAATTTTCTCAAACACAGTATAAATACCATCAGACTAACAATGAAACAGTTTTTCATTCTCTCAAGATGGGGGACATTTTGATTCGGGTATGTAAACACACAATTTTGACATTCCTCTTAAAGATACTTCTTTAAAAAAAAAGACGACTTTCGCACACCATTTTCTCAGAACAGAAATATCTGTCATAGATCAGAGCATAAGAAGTCTCCAGGGTCAAACCAAGGACTCTTCTAATCCATTATTCTGCCTCTGGTGATGGCCAGCAGCAAATGCCTGAAGAGGGACGCGAGAGCAGTGGAAGCACAGGAAACATCCCGCTGGTACCGTCCTGGCCACAGCCATTTGCAACCCAGGGCCTTGCTGGGGGGAAGGTCCTGTCTGCTATCTCTCAATGTATTTGTCTTCCATAAATTTACCTAGTCCCCTGTTTGAATCTGCATAATCTTTTAGTTTATACAGAATCGCGTAACAAGCTGTTTTTCAGCTTTAGTGTATGTTGTGTGGAGACCTGTATCCTCTTATGCATTTAAAATGGATCTCTATTTTTAACTGGTAACACCTTCTTGTGGTGTCAGATGAAGCAGAGGGAGGCCATTGCTTTCTTTCCTCCTGCTTGCTTTGTTGGTTGTTGTACTTCTTCCCCACAACCCAACTGCCTGTTTTCCAGGTTGAAGATTTCTGGCATAGCTAGTCTTTGTGAAAAAGCCATTCCATACCTGTGATCATCCTTGTTGCCTCGTTCTGAAACTTTTCCAGTTCCTTGATATCCCTTTTAAGATGGAGACTGATACTGCATATGTATTCCAAGTTCTGGTGCACCGTGGATTTATAAAGGAGCATATTCATACTCTGTTATATATTTTCTCTTTTCCTTTTCCAGACTTACCCAATCTTGTGTATTCCCTTTTCGTTTCTTTACATTGCCAGGTTTTGTTTTTTGTTCTACCATGTTGAATAAATAAAAAGAAGATGCATAGTTGTCAACAAATTGTCACCTCGTTGTTTTACTGTCTTTTTTGGGCTGTCGAATACATAATAATCATCCCTTATCCATGCATAATTCTCTGCCAATTCACATATTCTCACTGCTTGTAACTACTGCTTTGTAACTAATTATCATTGCAAGGATAGACTCTATGCTAGGGCTGCATAGTTTCCTTAATGTCTTCAGAGTGAGGAACCACATCAAAAACCTTTTGGAAGTCCAACAAGACCATATGAGTGATGTTCCTTTACCCACATGTCTATACTGATGCAGTGCTTCTCTTTCTAAACACTAACGTGGCAATTTCCCGATACAGCATACCTGTCTGTGTTTCTGCTAATTCCCCTTAGCCGTCGTCTTCAGTTTGCCCAGTACAAATGTCAGGCTTCCTAATCAGTAGTTCCCCAGATACTTTGGGGTGGGGGAGAAAATCGGCATCTCATTTACCACCTTCTAGTTCTTTGCTACCAAGTCAGTTCTAAGTGAGGATTACATGACACAGTTAGTTAAGATGCCAAGACATCTTGTTTTGATGACAGTGTTCTTCTAGAAAACAAATAACCTCAGTGAGGTAAGAGTTTAAGATTTTGTGTGCATATATTTTTATTGAGTATGTAGTTTTAAGGTAAGAAATAGAAAAGTAATGCTATTATTATTATGAAATGGGCCGCAAGTGCCTGCATCTAAGCCCAAGGACAGAAACTTCAAAAAGAAGGCAGGCAGCAATTTTTAAGGCAAGACACAGTGCTAAAGTACCCTGGAGCTAACATTTGAGTTAATTGAGTTAAATTTCAGGATGTGTCAGTTTTTACTTTTTTATAATGTTGTGGACAGTGGTGCGATTTGGATCGACCCACTCTTTACCTTGTATGTTTAATTTAAAATTTTCCATTGAATATGAATCTTCAAAATCCCAATATGTTTTCTTTTTTTTTTTTTTTTTGATAGCTCTTTTATCTAGTCTATAATTTTAAAAATGGCTTTCTAAAGCTGGAAATTTCATAGAGGGAAAATTGTATGTCACTAATTTTCTGCAGAGGAAAGTTAGTTGGAAACATTCGTGAACCACACTAAATAAAATTTTGTAATTCAATGTCTGAAGCTTTTTGAAGTTTCTACATTTTCTTGTAATGTCTTAATATTTTTACACATTTATTTTCTCAATTTGGCATGAAATTCATCATTTTGCAGATAAGCCTACTATTTTTTCTTTGTAGGGTAGTAGCAGCTCAGATTCTCTGGAAGGGCGAAGTTCAGACTATGCCAATAAAAGCTACGATGCGGTTGTATTTGATGTGTTGAAAGTAACTCCTGAGGAGTTTGCTGTAAGTAGAAATGTTATTTTTGCATTTAAGCTTGTATAATATTCAGGGCTTGCAGGATATTGAAAAAATATATAAAACTATTTTTCTTAAAATAGAATCGTTTAAATCAACTCAATTAAAAAATGGCCTGATCTTTCGCTCCTATTCATCCAAATTCAGATGATCCATGGCCAAGGACCACCTTCAGATATGAACAGAGCCACAAATTAGACAGGCCTGTAAAATCACACAAAAAACCTGATGCGTAATTTCATCAGGGGAGACTGAAATTATGCCCAAAGACAGCCCAGAACATAGTGTGTAGTCTACACCAGCAAAAATGAATTTGTGGTGATCTCAGAACTCTTATTTATAAAACGATCAAGTCAAGGTAAGGTTGCTTGTAACTTAAAACTGATCAGTTTTCTATTATATTCATAATTCCTACGCTCTTGGGTTGAGACAAGCTTGTTGATGGGGGTCTTGATTTAATGGTATACTTTAAAAACACACACATACATACCCTTATGTCATTGTGACGTCTCTTTAAAGCTGAAGTCTGAACTTTGGTAATTTGCTTTTCTCTCTCCAGTTCCACTGGTAGCCATGAACAAAACAAACAATAAACCCACCAACCCCCAAAGAAACCAAAAATTGAAATGTGTGTCTGTAGGACTGGCAGTGAGGCTTGAAAAAGATCATGTGTAAACCCTAGTGGTAGGGCTGCTTGTTTGGGGTTGGTTTGTTTGTAGATGTTGATTTTAATACGGTCACGCAAACTTTTAACACCAAGGCTTTCTTAGCCAGACTAGCTATTCTCCCAGTTCAGCTGGGGAGAATTTAAAAACCCACAGGTCTGGGTTCACTGTAGTTAGTACAGTTTGGTTACTGGACATCAGGGCTGAGGTCTATAGAAGATAGGATTGTTGTATTGAATATAAATATCGAGAAAAAGGGAATGGAGCCAAGTTAAGGTCGCTTTCAAATTTAGTCTGTTGTGTTCCTTTTTAAAATTTAGAAGCAGCAGAGCAGAAACAATCCCAACTCTCTTCAGCCTGTCCTCTCCAGAGCCCCTCTCCTACGAGGACAGGCTGGGAGAGTTGGGGTTGTCAGCCTGGAGAAGAGAAGGCTGCGGGGACACCTTATTGCGGCCTTTCAGGAATTAAAGGGGGCCCATAGGAAAGACAGGGACAATCTTTTTAGCAAGGCCTGCTGTGACAGGACAAGGGGTGATGGTTTTAAACTAAACCAGGGTAGGTTTAGACTGGCTATAAGGAAGAAATTCTTTACAATGAGGGTGGTGAAACCCTGGCAGGGGTTGCCCAGAGAGGGGGTGGAGGCCCCATCCCTGGGAACATTCACAGTCAGGTTGGACGGGGCTGGGGAGCAACCTGATTGAGTTGAAGATGTCCCGCTCATTGCAGAGGGTTTGGACGAGATGGCCTCTAAGGGTCCCTTCCGACCCAAAGCATTCTATGATTCTGTGATTCTATGAAATTCCCTGGTGGTAATCACATCTATACCAAAAAGACCAGTAGCTTGTCAATACTAGTCAATTTTGTTTTAAACTTTTTGGTGATTTTGATTGAACCTGTGTCTTGGTGAAATGATAAATAATTCTCATTGAAAACTTCTTTATTAATGTCACATCGTATGGCTTATCTCAGCTTTTTGGAGCCTCTGCTGTGCATCTTATTAGGAGGCAGTCAAAAAGTTGCAGAGAGGCATTTGTGACTGCAGTTTTTCTAGGAGCAGAGCAGGATCTTAATGACATCTGAGTTTGTAAATACCCAAACATTATTCAGATGTATAAATCAGAAAATTGAGTGCTGCTAAGAGTGTTTGGCTAGGGCTTGTGGCAAAATTTTTGATTTAGCATAATACAAAAGCAATATAGAGCATGCAAATTAATCATTTATGGAAGGAATTTTTTTTCATGTCTGTCAAACTTCATGGGCCTCATTAACTTTTCTAGGCTCATGTCTGAGGAATCATACTAATAGTAGAAAACTTTTAAAATTTATATTTAAATAGATAGCTATAATTCTTAATTGGTGGAATCAAATGTGCACTTTGAGAAGGGATTAGCAAGAACAGAGCAGCTTTGCTCGGGATCCAAAGAAGCGTTCTTTGATGCTTTCTTTTACACATTAAATCATGTAAGTTACAAAGTTCAAAGCTCTGTAGGTTTATACACTCACAGTGTAATTGAAGTACCTATTGCCTAAACATAATTTACATAACTTAGAAATATATACTGTCATTTCGATCAGTGAAGCAATTCCAGTATCTTACCACTCAGATGCTAAAATATTCTATAGATGCAGTTTGTTTTGTTTTTTTTTTTTTTTTTTAAATCATTGGCTTTGAAGGAGCATTACAATGTCTTATCAGGACACATTCATCAGTGGCTGAAAGTCTGCGTGTGATCTTTTTAAAGCATATTCCAATCATAACTAATTAACAGGTCATAATGCTTTGTTGTTGTTGTGGCTTAACCCAGCAGGCAGCTGAACACCACACGGCCAGCGGGATGGGGGATAGAATCAGGAAAAAAGTTAAATTTGTGGGTTGAGATAACGACAGTTTAATAGGACAGAGAAGGAAGGGAAAATAATAATAACGATAAAAGAATATACAAAACAAGTGATGCACAACGCAGTTGGTCACCACCTGCTGGCTGATGCCCAGCCCTTCCCCGAGCACCAATCGCTCCCCCCTAGCCAGCTCCCCCCATTTCTATACTGTGCATGACACCATATGGTCTGGAATAGCCCTGGGGCCAGTTGGGGTCGGCTGTCCTGGCTGTGCCCCCTCCCAGCAACTTGTGCCCCTGGCAGAGCAGGGGAAGCTGAAAAGTCCTTGCCTGGTGTAAGCCCTCAGGATGATGAAGTTTCTGCTTGTGGTGTCAGCCTGGACAGGGGAGGCTGAATTCAGGATTGGTCCGTTCTGCTTTACAGAGAAAATGTGACTGTATGGTTTGTAGTTACTAAAGGGCAGATGTAAATACATGATTGATAGTGCTTCGTGTTACATTATTTAAAATTTTATCTTTATTGCAGAGCCAGATTACATTGATGGATATGCCAGTATTTAAAGCTATACAGCCTGAGGTAGGTTTTCTTAAACTATCTGTTTACATCTTTGGAATTCACTGCCTGAGGAAATGTAACCATTTAAATAATGCTTGTTCATCTAAAAATGCTCATCTTCTGGCACTGTACTAATATTTTTCTAGGTTTATTCCTTGTTCGCACTGTAAACAGGTCCTGTTGAGTGTTTCTTCAGGATGAATTTATCAAATGTCAAAATCCTCTACTCTCCCTTCTGCTCCTGTTTTTCAGTTCATATCTGATTTCAGAGTTTGACTTATGCCTCTAGTCATAACGTGTATTTTAGGCTGCATCAGCCACTTGGTAAACTCTTTAATTTGTATTATCATGCTTAAGATTCAGTTCTGAGGGAATAAGTTAACACAGACATTTGAAAATCAGAAATAAGAACTTCAAAAATAAGGAAGGTAGTTACCAGAATATGTTAAATTTGCATAGCAGTGATATGTTATCTCAGTATTTATTAAATTTATTTTCTGCAAAAGAGACAAGAATTGCATGTTTTCAGTTTAAGTTCTTTAATATAAGAACATCTCCTTCTATCCATTACGGTTTATTGTTGTCTTGCACCTGGGTGGATTATCATGAATACATAAAGGAGGAAAAAACCCTGTAACTGAATTCCTCACAACATCAGCAAGGACAGTCCCGTTTAGAAGGTTCTTAGTAGAAGCTCAATCCATGAAACCGGCTCATCAACAAAACAACTCATTGTATATTACAGTGGTTCAGAGAGATTAGCAGCCTTCTATTTCGTGAAAGTATAAGAAAGCAAATAAAAATTCATCTAGCTGGTGTCTGACCTTCCTGTCAGACAGATTAATCTTGTTTCAAGAACACCAAGATAGTTTTGTAGCTGAAAACACTTTCATGCTTCTGAAATTACAAGTTATTCAGGTGGCTGGGGAGTCTTTTCTTTACTGTGGGGAAGCAAATGGCAAATGAACAATGCAATAAGAAACGAGTAACACCTGTGGAAAAATCCATGAACAGAAAAATATCAGTATTTACAAACAGATACTTTTTCATGACAAAATTTTTGCGAAGAAAAACATCAGTTAGAACAAAATGGAGGTGTCACCAAAAGCAGAGGTAGTGTGATACTCTGAGATGAATGAATATTAAATAAAATACAAAACTGTAGATTGTCATATTTTAAGTGAATTTTGCATTTGCTTTGACTGCTATGAAATATCTGTGCCATGGAATTTTATAGCAAAACACTGATTTGCTGTTATTTTCCTGTCATTGCTTCATTGCCTTTTAGAAATGAAATTTCCTGAAGTGCTGCTCTGATTGACTGGCAGATAGATGTAACTTAGTGAGAAATGATCAGAAGAAAACTAATGTTGTATTTTCAGCTTCTGCTAGAGTATAGGTAGCGGTTGTCATGAACTATTAGTTTTTATTTGTATTTTCCGACTTTCATCTTATTGGAATTACCAATATAATTTAATTGTTTGTTTGCCAAAACTAAATGACTGTTTCTATCCTGAAATTCTGCCAGCTGTAGGACTAGATTTTAAACCAAGATACAGTCTGTGTATTTGTTGTCTACCTGCCTCTTGTTATTAGGTAAGTTACGGGACTAAGAAGGCTAAAATTTTCTGGCCAAATCAAATATTAATGTATTGTCTGCCTGCATTTGTTTGAGGCCTGGTAGCCTTTCAAGTTAAGTTGGTGTATTCATTCTTCTCTGTCTGTAAGCTTGGATACCCTTTGATAAACGACCCTTTTGAGGCCTGCGGGGCTTCACGTTGATGACTGGCTCTTGCCTTGTTGATGGGCAGATGGTTGTCTGCCATTTTACTCCAGAACTCTACCTTGTCAGAGTCTTCCTTTGGTGACCTTGTATTGCATGGAAGAAGGAAAGGCCAATATTCTGATTGAAACCTGTGTTTCATGATGTGCTTGTTTTATTATGTCACCAGCTACAGTGAAGGCAGAGCAAGGGTCCCTACTTCTCCTTTCATACTTGCTTGTGCAAGGCAGTCACAAGTGCTGTGCACAAGCAGATTTTGTATGCAGGAAATGGTGGTAAATACACTGGTATGTGAATAGGAGCGAACACTTCCAGTTTCCTGTGCTAGAAAGGGGGTGCAAAAAAAGTATGGAGAGGTGAAATGGTTTGCTAGAGGTTGCATAGCTCAGTTCCAGGGCAGACTGTGCACAGAGGAGGTTCCCGTAGTCAGCAGCCGTTGGGCTGGCTGCTTTAGTGAGTTATTAGTCTTCAACATGAGCTTATGCATGTATGGAAAGACTTAAGATTTTAGAGTTCTGGTTGCCAAGTCTTCTCTCAAACAAACACACAAACATCCTCTAAGCCTAGCACTTGCTGAGGCTTTTTTCTGCTTTTCCATCGAGGTATTACTAAAAAACACATCTGCGTGTTACTTTGCAAGAGTAAGAGGATGTCTGATTAACAATGCTTTGCTCTCCAGCAGAAATAACTACACTTACATTCTAGATTTCTATGGAACTTTATTTAGGGGTTTTTTTGTTGGTTTTTTGTTTTTTTTTTTCCCCCCAAAGTCCTGGAAATTGCATTCTCCACAAATTTTCAGGGTTTTCTTGCGCACTTGATTGGAAAGTTTCTTGTGACTGTGTGCATTGAGGAAATTGCCTGCATCCTTCCATGCAAAAAGACGAAGTGTGATACTAGAACAGAACACATTTTAGCAGCATAAAAAAAAATTCAGCAGGGGCATGTTAGATCACTTACTCTTATCAGCTTTCTTACTCAATCCAAATTTTAAGCCTCATCAAATTATTTTACCATGCACAAGATTTTCTATTCCTGCTCACTAGCCCTCTGGCAACTCTTTTGTATCCTTAGGTTACTGACATCATCCACTTTTCAGACAAACATAAGTTCTTCTGTACCTAGTAGAGTGACTGAGATTTTTCCACATAAACATAATTTCCAGGGTCTTAATATGTGCACTGATCATGTGGAGAATCTGTGTCCTGACAGATGTGAATTGGCATTTTTATCTGCAGAAGGCTTAAATGCTGGAAGACTGGGATAAAAAATACATTTGGAACTGGCAATTCTGGTGCTCACACAGGAACATGGAGACATCCACATTGCGAGAGTGTGTTCCGTTTATCAGAATGTACACTGTGCTTTTCAGAGACAGGATTCTCTTTGGCTGACTCTCTGCCTTTTCATGTGAAGGCATATAAAGTTAATAGCATACATTTGGGAAGTTGAAAAACATTTTGATTGAAACTGAAATTTGTGGTTCTAAAAACAGAAGAGTGATTTAGAACTGGTGTTATGGAGAACTCATTTCCAGTGTCTACTACTTGTCAGATCTGAATATAAAGCCTGTATAGATAATGTGGTAACTTGAATCTGTAGTTAAAAAGAGCCAGGCTGGCTAAGTATATTTGGAACTGCCTGAAATAACTACTGGAAAATTGACACTTTCTTTCTGGCTAAATCAAATTTGTAGTTATAATTTCAAATTTATTTTGGTTCATAACTTAATACAGCTTGTTTAAGGAAAAAAACATTAATCTGCTTTTTAGCTCTTCTGTTTGCTTTATACTTCCCACAGGAATCTCCAGTATTTATTCTGCAATTTAGGTGAGAGATTATTTTTTTGCCATAGAGCACTGGGATTTTATTATGCATTAAAATTGATTGGTTGTGGTTACGGGTATACTGCAGAACTTGTGATTTTTCTTATTATTTTGAACTGGGTTGACTTTGAAGTAGTCGCTGTTATTGAAAGAGCATTCAAAAATTTGTTTCATACACTGTGACTAAACTATGCAGCCTGCTGGCAGCCTTTTGCTTTACTAGCACCAAAGTACTAATTAAGTATATGCCACGCTTCAGTCAAGTCTGGCTATACTCTTTTGGCTTAAAAAAAAGCCCCCCCAAAAAAATAAAAAATGGAAATAAGAGTTCTAATCCCAGCCTTCTGACCAGAAGGCCTTCAGAGCTAGGACTGTTACTGTCCAGCCTCTTTCAAGTGGTAGGTTCTCTCTGTCCAAGTATCACGTACAGTGATTTCAGGTGTGTTAAAATCAGTTTTTGACTACTGTAAACAATATTACAGTTCCAAAAGTGTTTTCTTCAAATGCTTTAGATCTCACATTTTAATAAAAAAAAAAAAAATTAGAGATTATGTGTGCTAACCTGCGGTGCATTTATGGAAGCTTTACTAACTGTAATAAGGAGGGTGGCATTCAGGAAGAGTAGGTTACCGCTTCTAGTTGCACAGCTGAGTTTTGTACTCTTTACTCTTAGTACTGCTTATTGATATGTTTGGCTTTAGCTTCAGTTTTGAACCAGATAAGATTATATACTAGCAAAGTCTTTACTCCTGTATCTTCTGATTTGCTTATACGAGGGAACCCTGGATTGAAACAATCAATGCAGAATGAAACTTCAGAGACATCAGTTGTGGCTGATTGCTTAGTCTCTCTGTATCTGAATATTAACAATGATGTCTGTTTTCTCTAGTACCAGGAGAATATACGAATCGCATCATTTATGTACACCAGGAAAACACAGAAGTATTTGGTTAGACTCGTCATAAAATTGGTGCCTTGGATTGGTTTTAGCAGTTATCTGATAGATGGTTCTGTCATGTATCAGTTTTTGCACTTATAAATGTTTTTAAACATTCCTGATTTTTAAGGCAATTTCTAAATGTGTTTCCTAGGAACTAGCCAGCTGTGGATGGAATAAGAAAGAAAAACATATCCTTGCTCCAAATGTTGTTGCCTTTACTAGGAGGTTTAACCAGGTAAATTATTTGATTATTGTGAAGAATAGGTGCTATTTGACAGTTGTCTTGGAGTATGAAGTTAAATGGAACTACTCCTATGAATTAAAATTTAAGAATATTTTTCTAAATGAAGGTTAAAATTTTAAAATAGCAGTTCTGTTTTCAGTTGCTTTGTCAACATTTCCGTGTTGTTCCTCTGGACCATTGGTTCCTAATTATTAGTTCCTAATTGGTTTTGCCAATGTGTCATGGTACAATATTAGCAATTCTTTTCCTTCTTTTTCTGTGTTTCACCTGCTCATTCAGTTATCGTAGTGTTGCCTCGCTTCTCTACCTACTTCTTATATCCAGTGGTAATGCTTTTGGGTAATTGCAGCTATGCAGATGAGAATTCATGGAATCAGAACTCTTTTCTTTCCTTACCCTGTTTTCTCCCTGGAGCGTCATGAAAGTTTACAAATATTTCAGCTAATAAAGTACTTTTTTGTAAATAAATTCAGTTATATGTGTTTACTTTATAGGTCAGTTTTTGGGTTGTACGAGAAATATTAACAGCACAGACCTTAAAAATAAGGGCAGAAATATTGAGCCATTTTGTGAAAATAGCTAAAGTAAGTGCAAATTTCTTGTACTATCATTCAAAATCTTACTTCCTTTTTGTTTGTTTCTGCACTACTGCTATGAACCGTTGTTGGATTACAGAGGGTAACGTTCTTTTTTAGCGTATCTTCTATCTTGTACCACATGAATAAGATAAAGGTATGCCATCTATTGTTTTTTACTTGGTTAAATAAAACTACTGGGTTCAGTGTGACTGGACTTGTACATTTGGCTAACAAGTTTAGAAGTGGTTTGTCTTGTTGATGGCCAGCTACTGTTGCCAGCACTGAACATGGGTGTAAACTGTTCCGGTTTTTGTCTCCCCCTCCCATTCAAACTTACCTTTTATGAAAAGACATCTCTTGCTTCAAAAACAGCTGTTATGAGACTTGTATTCCTACTTGTAACATGTAGTTGCTGGTATAAAGTACCACTGTTAACGCTCAGTTATTTTAATGAGGTTGAGCATTGCATTTTACAAGTCAGTTTTAATTCTAAAAAATATTTTTCTGCTTCATGACCTGTGGTCATTCTATTTTGTATGACCCTGTGTGACACTTACTAATATTAGTAAGAAGATGGCACTTGGATCAAAGGCCTGAGTGCTAATCTTGTTGTACATGTGAAATTGTGTGTGTGTGTGTAGGTAATTAGAGTAATATTTTCCATGTAATATAAAATAAATTTTTTTTGCATTGTGAATATTTCCAATCGGTTTACTTAGCAGTTTTGTGCTTATGCAGAAGAGAATGTATCTTGAGTAAGTTCCTGGCACAAATGCATAGTCCAAGTACCAGGAGAATGGTCAGCTTGGAGGTGCTAGGTTGTTCTTAGTAATACGAGGGTAGGTTCCCCCCCTCCCCGCCCCGCAAAAAGGAGAACACTGCCCTCTTTTTCTCTTGCCCCGCCGACCCCTTCCTTCTTTTCCCTATCCAGATCTTCCTCAAATGCTTCAGAGCAATGAGTAAATTGATCACTCAAGGATGAATCCAGCCTCTTTTTAAGATTTACAAAGAAGCTGCATGAGAGCAGTTCTCATTTTTCTATCTTTCTTGAACTATGTTGTAGGAAACTTCATCATCTAAGACAGCTTTATGCTGGAGTATTACCTATTTTGAGATCAATTGTTAACAGAGAGTGAATTTAAAGTACATTGAAGTGAGGAAAATTTGTCCAGTAAGACAGATCACAAAATAAGAAGTTGTAGTAATTCTGAAGGGATCATCAGCATCTTTGATGTTTTTGGCTTGATTAAATTTTTAATTTCCAAAATTATACCGGTTTTCAAGAACAATGCATCAAATGATTTTTTTGTTTTCTTTTCCTGAAGGAACAGCCTTAGAAAATAACAAATGCAAATTATATACAGTTTGTATTCTTACAACTGAAATGCCTGTTGTTCTGAGGGGTATATTTGGAAAATTTGCAACTTTTAAAGTGGTCTTAAGTATTTTACACATGCAACTTTGAGATTAATTAATCATGCTTCCCTTTTCGATGTGCTAAAAGTTGTTCACTTTTTTCAGAAGCTTCTAGAACTGAATAACCTTCATTCTCTTATGTCGGTGGTGTCAGCACTGCAAAGTGCACCTATCTTCAGACTGACCAAAACCTGGGCTGTAAGTTATCCCTTGACCATTGTCTTGTCTGTCTTGTTTGAATTCCCAGGTTTTCTGAACTCTTCCGAATTGTTGAAATGCGTGCTCTGAAAGATCATTTGGATTCTTGTTTTTGTGGTACCATCATAGCAGAAGTAGTGATCTGTTAATGTGTTTTGTGAAAGTAGAGTTTAAACAGCTGCATATTTTTAAACAATCATTTTTCCTGTAAGAGTTTCGTGTTTTTCTTTCCATTCTAGAAGCCACTTATTATACGCTTAAGGGGACTTTAGTGGATAAGTAGTCTTAGAAGACACTTATGTAGTGTGTCAGTATCCTGTTCTCCAAATCATTGCGTGTGTCATTAATACATTGCTTAAAAGGAGGAAAAAAGATCTATCACAACTATAGCATTAATTTTATGATTATTGTACAATGCATTTCAGTTTTCATTTATTTTGGAAATGAAAGGCTTTGATTATTCCATTTTTAGAAATTTGGTTTCTTGAGGGCAGAATTTCTCATTTAGATTTACTGTAAGTTTCACTATTTCTTTGAAGTGGAATACATAATTATAATTTAGTCCTGCTGTATGTAATCTTTAAATATACAAAGGATTAGGTAATTCTCATTAATTTAGTGTTCCACCCAATGTGGATCACATTAACTATTCAGAAGCGATAGAGATGGCTGCATGTAACTCTTTTACCCAAGTTTATTATGTCTTTAAAATGCCTGTAACTTTTTTATGGTTTGATTGCTCAGAATTAGGCTGTAGTCTAATAAAAAATGTAAGTGCCTGCTGTTTTGAGCAGCTTGATGAAGTTGGAACTTAAATAGGGAAAGTTGCTCGTGTGTGAATAATTCATTGCAGGGCGTAGCCCTAAAGAGGTGTAAGGCTCTTTGGAGGCACTGTAGTTCAAAACCACAGTACAGTGCAGAGTTAGGGCCTCGAGGAATTCTCAGTGCTGTTTAGAAAGGAAAGAGCAAAATTATTCTGAAATGTTTTCACTCTTGTACCTTTTATGTTATGTTTTATTATCTGCTGCTATTTAACTACGATGTGGAGCTGCAAAGGGCCTCGGGGCTCCCATTTACAATGCTGTTTTACTGCTGACTCCTGTCAAGCCCATCCTGAGCAAGACTGGATGAAGCAGTTCACTCGTGTAGATCCATTGCAGTATTTCTATAACAATGGGCAGGCTCAGCAGTTCTCTAGAAACAGAACAGCTAGGCTTATAAGCTCTGCAGTACAAGAGTTGGAATTTTACAGAGGAAGAGGTGCATTAAGAAAGGCGCTGTGGAACAGCTGTCCGTTGTCTGAAAGTACAACTGCAAGAAGCCAGTGTACAGTGCCATAGTTCTCCACTCTGTGACTCAATTGGCTTTTAAAATCTAATAATCTTTAAAGTATTGCTGGTTTTAGAAACAGCTGAAATAGGGACTGTCTTTTTATAGTTACAGTTGCATATTTTGTTTCCTTTTCAGTCCTCTGTCACTTCAGGATCTTTTTCATTGCTAAATATTTTTCTGATTTTCTGTAGTAAGTCCAGTAATAGAAAACAGAGTTACGTATCGTGGTGATTTACTTTCCTTATACTTTCTTCCAGAAAGTTTTTTCATACTTTTAATAAGGCACTGTTGAAATGGCACAATTTGCATTTATTTAAAGCCTTTTCCGTTGCTATTTTTGCTTTCAAATTCAAGAGGATTTTTAGCAATTCGGATGAACTGTGAGAATGTTGGTGACTGTGTAACATCGTATATTTTTCCTGTAAAAATTTACTATTGCTGAGGTTATTTGAAACTCTGAGTTAGTGATATGTGAATCCTTGATAAGCTATTCAGGAATAATAATCATATTTTTTCATAGCTCAGGACTTACCTGAATTGCCTTTTTTTTCTTAATATGTAGTACGTTTTCAAACATTGTGCTGGTTTGGGTGATGATGATGAATTAAATCTTAACTTGACTATGCTTTCCTTTACTGTGGGTGATTCAACAAATTATTATTTGTCATTTTCTTTGTGTGGATTTGTCTTTTAAAATTTTGTGATAGCTGCCTTTTTTTTTTTTTCTATGTAGCTTTTGAATCGCAAAGACAAGACCACCTTTGAGAAGTTAGACTATTTACTGTCTAAAGAAGATAATTATAAAAGGACACGAGAATACATCAGAAGTTTGAAAATGGTTCCTACTATTCCGTATTTAGGTGAGTGTGAACAATTACCTTATTTATCTATAGCTCATTTTGACTGATTAGCACTAATGTAGCATGTTGTGCACCTGAAGAACGCTGTAGAAGGTATGGGTCACTTCATCTGATGCTTAGAAAAGATAGATCTGGAGGAGATTTTTAAGCTATACACTCTCTACAGTGTCTGACTTGTAGAAATTTTGTGCATTGTTGACATCTGAAACAACAAGTATATCTCTGTTTAATTCCTTTTGATGTCTTCAGAATTTACAAAAGCCTGGGGTTTCAGGAGTGCTTTGAGTACAGCATAATTCAAGACCTTGTCCCTGTAGCTTTCATTTTTGCTGGACTGTTCTTTTCAGATACCTCATAACTTGGTATCTCTAAACTGTGGTTGTTGTTTTGTGTCAGTTCCTTGTAGATGCTTTGAAAGGATATACGGAGTAGTCAGTTCCGCTGACTGGCTTGTCCTTTTGATATTCCCTTGTGTTATTCATGTAGACACACTATATTATTATTTCCCCAACAGCTCTTTTAACTCACAATTCCTGCCCACTACTGAACTGTGCTAGCATTCCTGAGGGATGCTGCAAAAACCAGATTCCTGTTAAGCAATGCCATTCAGGCAATAGAATGTCTTTCTAGTGATGGGGTTTTTAAAAGGAAGAGTTAATGTAAGAAGTATTTAACCATGTCTTCTGCAAGTGATATAATAGAAACAGTAAGATAATTTATTGTAGTTATTTTTTTAGTGCTCAAAAAAGGACATACACCGTGCATTTTCTGTAGCAGTCAATGTATGCAAAGCATGGTCTTGGTGAAGTAATTGTTTTGAACATTCTGTAAATATGACTTCCAGAAAAAATATATTTTTTAAAAATCAAACTAAGCCTGGAATTTCCATCACAGATATTCAGCACAAGTCACTAATGTTTGACAAAGGTATAAACAACACCATAAAGATATGTTTTAAACATTGGTATAACCACAAACTCCACTTCTAATGCAACTTTCTTCCTCATCTGACATCATTCTGCCTTGTGCTTCAGCCACATGAATTCCACAAAATCAACTGTGAAATATACCTTTACCTAAAGTACTAGGAATGGCCGTCATTCCTGACATGGGAATTCCAGTTAATGATCTACAATTACAACCACACATATGAGGAGAAAATTTTAAGTATTCTAGGAATGATGCATAACAGTTCTTGGAGAACAGTGTTGTATTCCTAGAAGGCTTCTCATTATTGTGGTACTTCTTACTTCGCATGAGCAAACCTGACATATTAATAGAATTTCAAAAAGATACAAGAGGAAGACTCTTTGCATAGGTTTTTTTTTTAGCACCACAAACTTATTTGTAGTCTTAAAGTATTCAAGGGACTACAGAAAAACCCTTTGCATGGATGTGTAGTGCTCAAACCAATCAGTAGCTTAATCTAGTCTGCAGTAGGCTTTTTGAGAATCTTCATCCCTTTGGCTTTTTTGCTGTTTATTGTCGATTTAGTGTGTATGCTTCAGAAGAAATCCATTAAACTTGGTATTGTGTTCATTTTTAATGGTTTGGAGGTAGTTTTTTGTTTGAGTGTTTTTGTTCATCTGTCCCCTCTTCCTCCCCCAAAGCAAGGGGTTTAGATCTGTACATGTAAGATTCTTTCCAAATTGTCATTTGCAGAACTGCTTTCATTCTTTGTCCTGAGTCTCTTAGAGGAGAAAACAGATGTGCCAAGCTTTGACAAATACACTGTCGTGGCCAGCCTTATTTAAAAGCTGAAAAGGCAGTTTATTAGGTTAGGATGTAGAGAATATGAACAATTGCCGGGAATATTTTACTTACTGTATTTGTATGTATGAAGTGGAAGACTGGCATAAATTCAGGACTCTAAAATTTTCATGCATTTGTGTACAGCTGTCCTGCTGGTTAGTCTATTAAGCTGTCTTCATTCTTCTTTGAAGGAGTGAATTTTGAATTTGGGCTTGGTTTGGTTCTGGTCAAGCTTGAAATCATAAAATGTTGTATCTTCTCTGCTTATCTTCTCTTCAGGATTGTTTGCATAGGTCTGAAAAGGCTATGTCTGTGTGACATGCCAGAGTTGCTACCCTCCATTGATTTCAAAATTGTCATCTGGACAAACTTCTCATATCCTGCAACCTCTTTGTATTAAGTGTTTCTGCTTTACAGCGGTTTTGTTCGTGCTTACAGTTGATGGTTGCTTTTGTACTGGTTTTGTGTTTATGCTACTTTTTGTCTGGGGTTTTTTTTGGCTGAAGAATAGAAGTCTTGGTAGATTTAATGATCACTGAAAGAAGAATTTTGTTTCTTCCCAGTGTGGGTTTTCTCATCAGATGTGCATAAAATATACCTTATCCTTTTATTTGCATCTGTAAAGAACAATGCGAAAAGCTGGAGAGCATCTCTAGCTGGAAGTTTGAGGAGAAACAAGATCCTGTTTTTTCTGATGATCCTTAATAACCCTATATAGAAATAGGGACTATATTTTCTGCATGGGTGAGATACATGGCTGATAAGAATTGTCCTGAGAATCTCCCTATACTCTTGTACTCCAGCACCAGCTGTAGCGCTGCTCTGGGCGTTCTCATACTCTCTTAGATGTAACTTGTTTTCTGTTTATTTTTGTTTATTCTGTGCAATTGAGGTACATCAACAAGTGCTGTAAGGTTCTAACTCTTGGATCCCTGAGGATTCCAGGACCCGGTTTAGGTGGTGCTGTGGCCTGAAGGAAGATTCTAGAAAACTTCAACAGTAGCTAAGCTAGGTCTTAAGCTGCAGAGTTTATTACACAGCACGGGCATGCAGTGGGAGAATTTTAAACACTTTTCCTGCAGAAAGTTAGAAAGACAGGATGCTTCTTAGGCAGTTGATTCAGCCTCTTCAGATCAGGCAACTTCAGCACTCTCAGTCTGTTTCTCTGTATCTCATTTCTCTTCCTCAGAAAGGCGGAAGGGGCATCCTGAGCTTATGAGTGAAGTGACCATTTTTAGATTAAGACTTGACTTTACAAAGAAATTTTAATTTAGACCAGATATTTTTTTGCTACTTTGGTTTGGGTCCACCCTACAGCTGTGTGTATCCTTCACCCATCTTTAGATGAGATGTTGCTGGTTTCTTATGATGCTAGTTGCAGTTTTCCTCTACCTATGAACTGTGTTTCTTAGTGGTATTTTAATCTCGTGCTTATTTTCCTTACAGGTTAACTATTTGAGCTCACCATTATATGGTCTGTCCTTCACCTTTCATTGACAATACTATCTGCAAGTGCTATCATACTAGCTGAAAGTGTGGGGAAGAGCGAAGTCCCTATGATGAAGCCTTCTTTAAAAGGCTTTTTCTTCCTCATATTCTTTTCCAGGGAGGAGGGGTGTAGCACAGCCAATCTCATTTAAGAACTTAGCTTGCCTAAGTTCTTTTCTCAGATGTGGTATCCCCCAGGGTTAAAACAGGTCTCTGTACACTGACTTTTGTGCACTATCTTTTTTTAATTACATGGACAAGACTCTAGGTAAATCACTTGCGTTTGAAGTAGGAAGGTTAAGGGATGTGGCTATTTTAGCAAAAGGCTGTTAGCCTGGACATGGGTTTAAAGCCCGTCATGAGTGTATACGGTGGAGATGTATCTGTAGTCATATCTCCTGCTACAGAAAAGCACCTGTAGTAGCTTTTCTAGAAAATGCCCCCTTCTTGAGATCTACACAACGGATACCTGAAGTTCTCCGTATTCCTTCATCAAGCCAAGCATGAAGTAGCACTTGGAAGAGTATCTTGAATTTGCTGTCCTCATAAAGTTTCTGATAGTCCTTTTCATGCAACCTGTGAGTGTAAGGAGATAATGTTCATAGTGACCCATGCTTTAAAAGCGGGCAAACACCTCAGAGTAGTTAGTTACCAGTAGCATGAGGTTCTTCCAAACTAATCTGCATATGGCTAATGCATTGTTTGTTTTTCTGCCCCTGTATCTTAGTCCATGGGTTATGCATTGTGTTCTACCTTGATATGCCGTGGTAGCAGGTTACCAAAGGAGCGCAAGAAGAGGGTGGAGTATGAATGTGACCTAAGAATATTGCTATGCTAAAGTATCTTCAGGAAGTGTTGATTACTTAGTTATAGACTTACAATAAGTTGAATGTACATACACGCCATGGACATTTCTAAGGTAGGTGTCAGTCTACTGTGTGCTTTCTTCTGACAAAACTAGTGGTTAGTTGTAAATGCCAACAGGAATTTTACTGCCTTAATGCTCAGTCCTAACTGTTAGAGCACTGTGGCTAGGCTGTAGAGCCACTAGATGCATTTAATATTTTTTACTTAAAGCTTAATTGTTTTCCAGAGTCTGGTAGATAAACCAGTGGAAGATAAAGCTTGAATACTGTTTGAAAATTTGGGGGGTTTCATAGGACCTACAAAAAGTTCTTCCTCCTTGGTATGTGTGGAAATTGTTGCAATATTTAGACACTTCACACACGTTAATATTAGTTGTGTACCAGGGTTGATTCGAGTCATGAGGCAGAGTGGTGTGCAATTAAGTCGCCATCTAGTCTTTGCTAGGAGTAATCTGAACTAAAACAGGATGAAATCTGAACATGTCAGAATAACATTTGTTGCTTTATTAAAGGATTACAGTGTTACAGGGGTAATCTAATATATTAAAAACGCTACTTTCAGTTATATACAACACATGCTACATGACACGTCAGTTTAATGCACATCATACCGTTGTAAGAATTGATGAGGTAATAAGGGATAAAGTGTGCAAGCACCCGCACACAAACACCCAGTAAGTATCTTACGGGCTTACTGAAAAATATGTTGAACTTTTGGAGGCTTTTGCTCTCCCTCTTATATGCATTCTTTAACTTACATTTTTCATAGTAGTTGCTGTTTTGAATTGGGTGTTAAAACAATTATTCTAGAAACCTACCTCTGAAGAATGTTAGAATTATCCTTGTCAGTATTTCATAGTTCTGACTGACTTCTAAATATAGATGAGTAAATCTATTTAATAATTTGATAGTATTATGTTATAACTGTGGAGTATGATAAATACAGCTTCTCTTTGCTACAGATAACTTCTTTACATAATTTTCATCTACTGGCTAAGGATATTAAATAGCTTATATATTGGTATCCATCATTTGCCTGCAAAGTTGGATAGTCCCTTTAATTTATAGCCAGCCATTTCCGATTACAGAGGCTACACAGCAGGTAATGACTGAAGGCAGGTACACAATACTGTGGCAGTTGTTGTGTAGTGTAACATGTTGGCTATACAGCACATGATAGCTGTTGTAAATTGGATTAATTTCCATATGCAGGTAGCTACTTCATTTTGGTAAGAAAAATCATTGGTGTTTTTAATCTAAAATATTTGAATCAAATGTGAATTCTAATTTATAGGAGCAGATTATTAAATGCTCAAAGTGAAGGGGAAAGATGATTTATCACAACAGTAATGGTTTGAGTATCTGCTCTCAAAATCAAATTCTATAATACTAGCTTGATTTATGGCAGTTAACAAAGATTAAATTAGAATAATCACACTACTGTACATATACCAGCTACACAGTTCAAAGGATATGATTTCCTGTGTCAAATGACTGTTAATAATAATAATAAAACTCTTACTGTACAGTTTGTAATATTTCCTGTATTTGAGAATATTTATACATAATATAACATACAAAAATATTTAAATGTTGTGGCAGTATTTTTACCATCCAAACTTAATTTACAGGGAATAAAAACCAGAAAGTGTATCTACAGTCCATCTAAACTGCCAGTTCTAAAAAGCTTAATATTAACTACTTTTAGTACCAAGAGGTGTTCTGAATGTTTTGTCATTTCAGTTCCTTTTTTTTTTCAGCTTTGTTTTCCTGGAATGATTCTTGAAAATACAATATACAAGCCCGCACATATTAGCAATAAATGTACAATATCTTACATTCCTCATTCCTGAAAAGATAATTCCAGATAATAACATCATAGCCTTATGTGATTTTTTTAGAACAAGAAAGCAAACCAAGAGAAGAACTATTTCAGTGGAATGTGTTTGGGTTAGGTCTTATCATCATGACAACTTTCTTTAGTGAATATGATCCCCCCCGGAATTCTGCCCAGTAAACACCATCCTGATACCGACTACGGTAATGTCCTCCACGATACCAAACTCCATTGAGATTTGAATGAGCACATGCATTGTACCACCATCCTCCCTTCTGGTAATGAGCACAATTACCTGCAAAAGAAAGCTCCGATTCAGTCTGAGGAGCAAATGATAAATCTTACAGCAAGCAAGCTTAAGCACAGAACATTTTTTTTCTCTATTTTTTTAAAATGTGTGTTTAACATGTAGGTACCATGTGGTACAAAGTGAATTTAGGCTTCTTCCGGAACCAGCTCTGTAGTTGGGTTCTACAGATAGATTCTTTAGTGTTACTCTCCATTGCGGGAAAATTTGTTTGCATTGCTGTCGCAACCCCCACAGCATATTTTACAGACCCTTGTTTAGTGTAAATGATGATTATTTTAATGAGAATGTTTGTTTCAGTGTTAGCATATATAAGGGTTGACACAGCAGTTCATGCTTCATAAGTTACTAGTTGACAAATCTCTAAAAATATAATTTCTTTTTTGTGCGTGTGTATCACCATAAGTATATTTCCTTTTTTAAAAAAAAAAGGAAAAAAAAAAAAAAAAGAGGGGCAGGGGGGAGAGAGGCAACTGAAAGGGACCTTTTACCTGTGTATACATCATGGTCCCGGTCCAGCGTGGTGAACTGTTTACCATTGTGCCAAGTGAAAGAATCTCCTGCATTGCCATTGTAGCGTCCCAATCTCAACTTGTAATACTCGCTTTCTGGCTCCAGTCTGAAGCTAGCATACTCGGCGAAGACTTTTCGACCTGACCAGTCTTCCATTGTTATGAGGAGTTTGTAGTTGCCTTGATTTGTTAACCAATAAATATTTTCTAATCCAAGCCAGTATTCTCCATCTATATTACCAAATCCTTGCTGTAAAGGAAGCAAGAGAAGCATGTTAATATTGTGCATCTGTTTTAGGGGTAGAAAACCACAGTAACTTATTTTACAGAGACTTCCTCTTCTGGAAGGGTAAACACACAAGTTCCTTTTCAAGTAAGCTGTTGGCCATACTAAAATCACCCTTCAAATTAACTTTACTGATAATTTTTAGAGGGTAGAAAACATTAAACTGCTCACTTGTCCTAACCTTGTATGTCTCCCAGTTCCTGAAAAAGTTGACAGACCCATCCAGCCGTCTCTGAATCACTGTCCAGCCACCAGGGTCATGCCGTTGATCGCACCAGACCTGCATAAGCCGGTTTGTGTTTTCTGGTTTTACAAGATAGATGGAGCTTGTATCATGGCCATCTTCTAATGCCTGTAGACAGTCTCTCCAGGGCCCTGTGTCAAAACAGAAGGACTCTGCATCAAAATGCAATTCAGCAAATCTTCAGTGCAGGTTGCTGTTTGAATGGTAGCTTTTTACAGTAGATTTGCTTCTGCTGAGTAGTGCGTTTCTTTTTCCTCTTACGGAAGGTACAGTGTCCACTAAGTGTTTTCAAACAGATTCATTTGCTGCAACTATTTCTGGAACATTTCACAATGAATGACTGATAAGGGTAGATGATTTTTCTTAAAAAAAAATTATAGCATTGATTATATCTTCAAAGAAACTAAACATGAATGACTCCATAGATAAATATTAATAATTTCCTTTAGAAAACAAAATGCTAAGTTTGACTTTGTTTCTGTCTTTGAGAAATTCAGCTTTTTAGATCCCAAAAATGTCATTGGCACAGACATTAACAATGGAACAGGCAGCCTAAATTAAGAATATAGGTGTTACTGTTGTCACTTTAATAAATGGTAACACAAAACAAATTAAGATTTGTAACATGGAGTGCCCACTTACATAGTGAGAGTAATTATAGATAAATGAGAAGACTTCTAAAATAATTTGCATTCACAGAAGTTACAGATCACGCTCTCCTATATTCAGGAGAATGCATTTTTTTTCCTTGAGTTTACTGGAGTCCATAAAGAGCTTACTATTTTTGAAAGTATCTTATAATCATTATTTTTAAAGACATTTTCTCTAATGGGAGGATAGCTTCCATTCCAATGAGTCTGAGAAATTTAGATATAAACAATTTAGGAGTCTGTGTTGATATCTGCAAATAGACTCCCCCATTTGCTTTGCTGCTATCCTCGTGTTGCCTAAGCAGAAGAGTGAAGTCAACAAGAATCCTCAGGATTAGAGACCCTTGATTGATTCTCTGCACACACACACACCCCCCAAAGGAGGAAGGCTTGTCAGATCTTCTCGTGAGGAGTCTTGGTGAGGCGTATGTTGCTGTTGAGAGTAATTTCTCTTTTGAATTACTTCAGCTCATCTACCCTTTTTCATAATTCACTGTCCAACACTTGTAATGGTAGATCTACCCTTGTACTCAGTAAATGAGTTAGTAATAAATTAGTTTTATAGAAGCAACCTCAGTATTTGGGGGGGGTTGGGTTTTTTTGTCTTTTTAACTAGTTGATCAAAAAGTCACTGTACCAGGAGGCAATCCAAGTTTTTGGTCTGTGGCTATGCTGTGGTGTTCTCGTTTCCTTAGTCATATTCACAGTCTCTACCTGGAGTGCTGCTTCTAAGCCACTTCTCCATTTCTGTGGTGGCTAACTGTTCAGATTTCTGGCAATTTAGATGTAGATGCAGTATTCTGTGACACAGTTGCATGGCTTACTATGAGAGGTGGAAGACAACAAATGTAATGAATGCTGGTATTTTAAATGGCTCTTGTTTATTTTATGTGTGTACATAGTGGCACTTACTAAAACCATGTCAGTTCAAAGACATTGAAGAAACTCCTAAAATAGTCAACCACAGATCTTTGATCTTGTCTTTGGAAAAATAAATATATAGCAGGATATGATGTAGTATTTACAGTTTTCTAATCTTGCAGATTCTTTCTGGGCCATGTGGCAACAGTGCTCTACTGCATGTGCTTCTTTTCTCTGAAAGTGCTTTAAGATGAAGATAAATATTACAAATACTTCAAAGCAGAGTTTGCCATTACTTTTCCATGATAGGTGGCTTATTGTCAGATACAAACTTTCCAAAGTTTTGGCTAAGGTGTGTAGTCTGAGATTTGTCATCTGGCATCAGAAATGAAAGGGAACGTACTGAAGACATCTAGCTCCAGCACAGACCTCTGTAAGACACCATGGTTAACCCTTCCTAATGAAAAAATAATAATAATTATGGAATTTTTATGGTTTAGTTATGTAAGGCTCTTTCTTGGGACTTTGTAGCAGCTTAATTTAAACACACTAAGAAACAGTAAGACAGTAAGAACACAGTAAGAAACCTGTTCTTCAGTGCTTTCTGGAAATACATCTGAACTGTATGTCAACCAGAACTCCATCTGCATAGGCACTGAGCCCTTCAGATATCTCTAAAAGTGATGCAAAATTGGTATTACAAAACCAAAGTTGATTATTATTCAAGATGATTGTATGATGATACATGATTCACACTTGTTTACTTGTGTTCTACTATTCTTAGCATATTTTATATCAATTAGTGGATTTTTTTTTTCCAATGTTACATTTGCTGCCTTTCATTCCTCACATACTAAGGAAATTTTAGGTAAGAGATTACACAGTAGTTAATTGTTTCATATCCAGTTTCCTTTACAACACTTGCAGAATGTGCTTTACTCTGCAGTTTGTTAGATTTCTTTCATTGGCTTTATAACGTCTTCTACCCACATTTCAGTTTGAGGTAAGTCCTGCGGAGTGTATCCTCCTTGCCACTAACAGTCCACACAGGAACCTCAGTGTCCCCTTGGTGAATACTCGTATCAAAATTAATTTAGATTTTCTACTGTTGCCTTAATTTTTCTGAGCATATCTTTTTATCTTTCCATATAAACTTTTAGTCGGGCTTCCTGTTCCTGATGTGCTAGAAATCAGGTTTATTATGCCTTTTTTTCCTTTTGCAAGTGGTTCTTAAGATTTTAGTGTGTCTTTATATTTAACCTGACAGAGAGTATGTTCTCTTCTTATTTCCTCATTTGGACATGACTTTAGTGCTTTGAATGACATCATCTTTCTTACAGTACCACTCTTTTACCAAGCTGCTTAACCATGACAAGATTTCCTGGTCCTCTTGAAGGTGGGTTTTTGTTGGGTTTTGGGTTTGGTTTTTTTTTTTTTTTTTGATGGATGGATAGTTTTGAATTTCCAATAGGGTATCTTTAAATAGTCTCTGTGGTACTTGAAAACATTTTACCTTTTCAGTTAACACTTTTATTAGTTTATGCGTTGGTGTTAGAATATTCAGATATTTTGTCTCATCTGTGTTTCCAAGTTTCTGATAGTCTGTTATATCAAATATTGCTAAAACACCAACTTTCTAGTTCTTGTATATTTTTTCTTTTTTTTGGTCTTGTTTAAGTGGTAATATTTGTTGAGAAGCATATATATGTTTGGCTTGACCTCGCAGATACATATATTGGCCTAATATTTCTGTGCCCTGTTAAAACAGTCTGTTCAGATGACATTTCAGCGTTTCTTACTCAAATTTTGACCTGTGCTCCTATCCAGAGATTTTACTTGATTGTACAAAATCTGCATTGCTTCACCTAAAGGATTCTCAGTTTAAACCATCTGATTCATTAAGCCGTAATTATCAGTATGAATATATATTGTCTGTCTTACATTCTTAGGTATGTTTATTTCTGTATACTACAAATGCCTTTTTTGAAAAAGTGTGTGACCATATAGAATCAGCATACACTGTGTGTTAATATTGCCTTAACCTTAGCATCACTGTTGGCTTTTTATTATTTAACTATTTAAATTTATTTTTTATAATGCAGCATGGGGTTAAAATGTTTACCTGCAAGTTTTATCTGGTGGAGTATAATAAACTGTTTCGTGTGCATGTCTTTCTAGGAATAATGTCTCCTATAGGAGTTGCACAAGAAAACATACATCTCATAATTGATATAACTGGCTACTACTTTCTGTTCCCAGAAAAAGATTTGTTGATTTGTTGGGTAAGGATGATGAATCAAATTCATTCAGTTTTCAAGTTCAGTTTTTATTTGTCTTGAGTCTAGTTATCTTCCAATGTTGCACTAGTAAATTTATACCAAGCAGAATATTTTGATAAGCTATTAATGTAAGACTGTTTTATCCAGAAAGTGTAGCAGTACTTCACATAATAGTGTTTGTCCTGTTGTGTGCAGAATTCTCCACTTGAATCAGTTGTTGTTTCAGATCTACTTGAATTATTGACCCTGTGGGCTAAACTTTCTGATGTTATAAACTAAAACCCATTGTAGATAAACCACATGTGCTTTTTACACTGGCATATTAAAGCTTGTAGTTGTTAAGCATTACTGCGTGCAAAGTTGTTGGGTTTTGGTGTGTCACAGTCCTTCATCCCATTCCAAACCTCTGGGTAATAACTCCAGCAAAGGAGGAGTTGTTAGTGTCACAGCTAAACCATTTCATCCTGACGCCTTTTATTAGGCTTTTAGCTCTTTCAAGCAAGTCTACGGAGCAATATTCCTAAACAGGACTATAGAAATGTTACTTGGAATTCATATTTTGCTTAGTAGAGTGGAATAAAATACAAGTGTAGTTATTTTGAACAACCTTTGACATTAGGTGACTTACTGGCTACTTAATGATTTTAATTTTTTTTTTTTTAAATTTTTCTGTAGAATTTCAGTGTTGTGTACATTGTAAGTATTTTGCTGATAGAATTAAACTTACTCAACTTGCTTTTTTGGGCATGAGTGGGAAATAAGAATGCACAAATAAGAATTTGATGTAAATGAATTATGGATAAAATTGCAAATTCTTTTACTCAGAATCAAAACCAAGTATTTTTTTTACATTTTCCTTTATTTTTGCAAAGAACCAGTAACAGGAACATTGGGGCATTTTTTTATGCCTCATAAAATAAGACTTCCTGGGAAGTGCATGGATCAAAGCATGACACTAGTCCTTGCAGAGAAATTAACTTGTCTTTTATAAAGCATGTATCTCTGAAATTACTTCATATCCATTGATGATGCCCACATTTCCCAATGCATTCTTTCAGTTTCTTTTCTCTAGAACATTTTACTATGAGATTGAGGTTCTTTATCTACATCACTGTTTTATATGATTCACTGCCAATGTTGTTGTTATGCAGTCATCAGCTTTTATCATCTTAGAGGCAATAGACTATGATGTCTCTGTTGAAATATCCAACACTTTGAATATTCCTAATAAATTTTTAACAAGACTCTATTCTTCTCTGCCTTGCGTCTCAAATCTGGCACATTATTTTTGGTTATTTGGCTAGTTGTTTTGGGTTACCTTTGTGAATATGGAGAAAATATCAGTGGTACATTTAAATCACACTGCACAGTAAATTTATAATAGCAGGT